CTGCTGATGCAGTGTAACCTTTATAGATTGACTCTGCATTTGCTCCGGCATCTGAAAAAAAATTAGATTGTTTGCGTTTGTTTGTAGTAACCTTTTCTTTTCACAAATAATGTGTTAGAATAACAGACTACCACATTTTACAGTGCACATTTCAATATAAATCAACTATAAATTTTTAAAGTATAAATAGATACAATGCAACAGTATACATGTAATCTATGTCTCTAGCCTGAGTAGAGCGTGTACAATATTTAGATGGCATTGTGTTGAAATTATTTTATTGTTACACTTGGAGAAAAAGTGGAGTGCATTACTCCCAAACGAGAATGTGACCATAAGTGAGTGTTTTTTTTTTAAATTATTTTACTTGCCCCATAGCTGATTGCTCTCCATTTTCTTACACATAAAAAAAAAGATGAAAAAAACGAAAACAAAGCCTGWCTTCAACTTTGAGGCAGAGAGGAAATGTCAAGAAAACGCCTCTGTTTAGGAGAGGAAGTGTGCGRGCTGGCATTTTGACACCCACGCCGATATTGTGTAATGAGATTGCAATGTCCACTCCAGAGTTAACACCTCCTCAAATGAATGAGTGAAACATTGCACCCAACATTTTGATTACCTCCCCTGCTGCCAAGCATTGATGTTGTAGTGCCACCCACCTCCCGGCTCCCATCGTGTTTGTGCTCTGATCAGACAATGGAAGTAGCAAACACGTACTCTGACACACACACACACACACACTGCACATTGCGCACACTAGCATACAAATGTGCACACGTTTAACCGAGGCTGAGGCAGGCAGATAAAGCTATCTAATTATATTCCTAATTTGCAGCTCTAATCCATAGAATAGATCCTCCCCAGTCATTACAAGCAGCCTTTTGCAGCCTGTAAGAAATTGATCTTGCTGTGTGCAGTTTGAAAGTTGGTGCTAAATGCTAACATACATGCATTTTATCTTGTAATCAGAAAATATTACACATACAGTAGATGTCAAAAGCCCTAATGTGGACAATAACATCAGCTGCGTTCAGACAACCTTTGCGTTCTAGGAAAGCAGGAGTGGAACAGTGTTCTGTGCGTTTACTTTGGACTGTCCGCAGCATCCWGTGAGCAGCAGTGGCATCCTTGCAGCATCCTCCAGAAGCATACCAAGYCACCATCTGGCAGAGTCTCATTAAAATGCTAATTCATTTTAATAAGAGACAGGTAATAAACTGCAATTATGTATCGTCAGAGAGATGGCAGAGAGCAGAGGAGTTTGAGGAAGTCAGGCGGGAATGTGAGTTGTCTCACTAATCAAGAAGCTGTCTCACTTACCAAAGTGTTAACCCTTCCACTATTCTTAACCTTAACTRTCTAACGTGTGACATCAAAACACCGAGTTTTAATTAAAAATCAATTATTTTTAACTAAAAATCAGAAAACAAAGGGCGGCTTGCTTTATTGTTTTTTATTTATTTATTTATTGTGAAAKTCTTGATTTTTCAAAACTATTTTTATGAGTAAGTAAAATGTTTTATCTAATATTTATGACACATTTCTGTGCAGTCTAAATGAAATTRGCATAAAAACCCAAATAAGATAAAAATACGACGACATGATGTTGTGATGAAAGGGTGTGGAGCATGTTATGTTTTTTAGATCTTTTCACACTTGCCTAATGTCAACCAGATTGGTATTGCTGCCTTTTAAAAATATTTTGCATTAACACGTTAAATTGGTGGTAAAAAACAAACAAGTTAATCCCAATGACACACTAACAGTATTTAGTAAAATAAAAAAAAATATGTATTTATATTAACTTATTAGCAGTTGCTTTCAATCAAATGAAAATGCTGTTAAAATTTATATATTTTTATGTTAGAGGGTTTATCATTTCCACTWATAAATCTTTTGGAAATAAAGCATAAGCTCACCTGAACGGTGTAATTGGGTTGTGTGTGACATCTTCATATTAGCGCTGTCATCTGGAGTGGGGCCAGACTTTCTGAGCAGATGGCGAAATGTCCCGCCGTTTAAACCGAGCCGCCCCTGTCAGGCAAGATCTTGTAGCTGGAARGAAGCTCAGCACACAGTGGTTTTGACGTAGGGATGGGTATTTCTTGAAAATGTATTTTCAAAGKTTCTGGGGTTTTAGGTACACATGAATGCTGCTGTCAATGTTGACAGTAAGGAATATTTGTATTTTTTTTTTCACCAGCTTCTAGTACAACAGGAASAGTAAACTCCAGAAAGTTTACAGAGAAGTGGATCAAGTAGTATTCTTAGGGAAGCATAACAAAACTCTAAATAAATACAGGATTTTAGGAGTTTATTATGTTGTTGTCATGTATGGGATATTTAAAGCATAGGAGTTAACAAATCCCCTTCTGATACACTTRTGTTTCCTAAATTAATAACTGAAGAACAGCTGAGTCAAATATTTTATTCAGGCAGATTTTATTTGAGAATTTGTAAATTTGTCTTTTTTTTAATAGTAAC